AGGTCCAATCTCTCTTAGGGCACACACATAAAGCACTTTAGCTTGAATGCATAAAAATTTGCATTGGTTGTATATCTACCAAATATTAGTTTTTTGGTTTTTAGATTTGGGCAGTGGAGTGTCCCTTTAAATAACTCATGTAATAAAAGTATCATGATGTTTATACTATGTTAGGTTCCAGGAAAAAAGACTATCCAACCACAGCTGGAAGGAAGGGGGCTAATAATGGAACCTTAGTAATACCTAGGGTGTGGTTTATGAATATTAGAGAAATTAAGAACTTGGAAAGTTAAAACTTAACTCTCTTGTCTTACATCAACACCAACAATGCAGATTAAGTTCTTAAAGATACAGCTGCCTGATGCTTTCTTCAATTTGGAACTCATCAATGATGCAGGTTATATGCTGAGAAACTGTTCTCATTGCAATGCTGCAGAGCCAAATCTCACGAGAGAAGTGAACTCTAACTGCAGGCTAGAGTTCACTCATCACCGGACCACCAAGGCTTCACCACCAGACCACTAGGGCTTCACCACTGGACCACCATGGCTAAAATAAGTGGGGGGTATAGCGTTTATTAGTACTTTTAAAATTAAAATAATAATGGGGGGGAAAAGGCATATTCCCCCCCGCCCCCCACTTTCAAACCTGTCACTGGTCTTGTGATAAGACTTGTGCAGGGATTTACTTTGGACAGTTTGTCAAATATCTTTTAATCCACACTCTGATGAATCATCCAGGATTTATCTGTGGAGGCTTTTTTTTATTAATTCATCTGGGTGTGGAATTCAATTAATTTTTTTCGGAACAACCATCCAAACCAAATCTGTGCAGAAGTCTACTGATGATGATGATGATAAAAAAAAAAAACCTCAGCAACTACTACAAAACTATTTGGGGTCTATTCACTAAATACTTTTCCTTCAATTCGGCAAACGGAATTAATTTATTCATTGTCAACTAAATTGAAACTATACTGAGTTACATAGCTGAAAAGAGACTTGCGTCCATCAAGTTAAGCCTTCCTCACATCTGTTTTTGCTGTTGATCCAAAAGAAGGCAAAAAACCCAGTCTGAAGCGCTTCCAATTTTGCAACAAACTAGGAAAAAATTCCTTCTTGACCCCAAAATAGCAGTCAGATGTCTCCTTGGATCAAGCAGCTATTGCCCCACTGATTAGAAATTATATCCCTGTATGTTATGTTTTTGCAAGTATATATCCAATTGCAGTTTAAACATCTGTAAAGACTCTGACAAAACCACCTCTTCAGGCAGAGAATTCCATATCCTTATTGCTCTTACTGTAAAAAAAACTTTTCTTTGCCTTAGATTAAATATCCTTTCTTCCAGCCTAAATGTGTGACCTCGTGTGCTATGTATAGCCCTGTTTATGAATAGATTTCCAGATAATGGTTTGTACTGGCCCCGAATATATTTGTATAATGTTATCATCTCCCTCTCAGGCGACGTTTTCCAAACTAAAGAGATTTAAATGTTTTAACCTTTCTTCATAAGTAAAATGCTCCATTCCTTTTATCAATTTTGTAGCTCGTCTCTGCACTTTTTCTAGTGCCATGATATCCTTCTTTAGAACAGGTAGCCAAAGTCTCACAGCTTATTCAAGGTGTGGTCTTACCAGCGATTTATAAAGAAGCAAAATTATATTTTCATCTCAAGAATCTATGCCCCTATTTATACATGACAAAACCTTACTGGCCTTAGCAACAGCAGATTGACATTGCATATTGCTGCCTAATTTGTTGTCTATAACAATTCCCAAATCCTTCTCGTGTGTGGCTATCCCTAGTTCACTACCATTTAGGGTGTAAATTGCTTGTGCATTCTTAACCCCGAAGTGCATAACTTTGCATTTCTCCACGTTAAATTTCATCTGCCATTTTTGTTGCCAGTCCCCCAATCTATCCAAATCCCTCTGCAGCAAGGCAATATCCTGCTCACATTTTATTACTTTACAAAGTTTTGTGTCATCTGCAAACACATGGCTATAATACATGGCTTTCAATGCCCATTTCAAGCTCATTTATAAATATGTTAAATAGAAGCGGTCCCAAAACAGAACCCTGAGGGACACCACTTACCACTTTTGTCCAGCTTGAAAATGTACCATTAATGACAACTCGTTGTACTCTATCCTTAAGCCAATGTTCTACCCAAGAACAAGAATATTCATCTAGACCACTTTCTTTTAGTTTGAAGACTAACCTAACTTACTTCTTTGTAGGATGCAATTAGGTTAGTTTGACATTACCTATGTTTCATAAAACCATGCTGATTATTGCTAATAACACAGTTCTACCCAATGAATTCCTGAATATTATCCCTTAATAGCCGTTCAAATAATTTCCCAGTCATAGAAGTTAAGCTCACAGGTCTATAATTTCCAGGCAAGGATTTTGAACCCTTTTTTAATATAGGAACAACATCTGCCTTCCTCTAATCCTCCGGTACAATACCTGAAACAAAAGAATCTTGAAAAATTAAATACAGAGGTTCACTTATTTCCCCACTTAGCTCCTTAAGTACTCGTGGGTGGATACCGTCAGGCCCCGGAGCTTTATTTACATTAATTTTCTTTAATAGCTGTAGCACCTTGTCTCGAGTTATCCAATCACAAGTTATCTGCAGGTTTGTTGCAGCAATCATTTGCTTATCTCTTGCCATATGATCTTCATTAATATATACTGAAGAAAAATAGTTATTAAAAATTTCTGCCTTTTCCTGGTCTTCATTAACTAACAGACCCATCTCTGTTTTTTCATTTTCAGTGTACCTACACTTTTTTATTTTGTTTTTTTAGAATTGATGTACTTTTTTGGGGGGTTGGTTTTGCATTCTTTTGCATTCTTTATCAATTTCTCATTTTCTAGTTTAGCCACTTTAATTGCCTTTTTGCAAGTATTATTGGCTTCCTTATATCTTATATAGGATACCTCTGATTTGTCCGATTTAAAGGCTTTAAATGCTCTTTTCTTATTTTTAATCTCTTGTTTTACTTCTCTGCTAAGCCACATTGAGTCCCTAGTATTTTTAAATTAATCTCATTGCTAAATAGCAAAAGTGAATTGCAGCAAAATAGCATTGAACTTCCCTGCTATGAGTATATTAAAGTATGTTAGGATGAGGGTTTGGGGAATGGGGTATTGAGAATAGTGTTCCGATGACTTAGGGTTAGGTGTGAGAGAGGTGCAGTGTGTTTGTATGGGATGCAATGGGTATGTGAGCGGTGCATTATGTGTGCATTAGGGGTGCAATGTGTGTGTGTTTGTGAGGGGTACAAGTTCTAGGCTCAATTCTGCCAGTCTGTTTAAGAGGAATTGGAAAAACTGAATCAAAGAAATTCATCTGGAGTTCGGCTGTTTGAGAATAGCCGAACTAGTAAATGTGTATATAAAGATTCAACTTAATTTAAACATCGAGCATTATGGCTGTCGAATGGAAGTGAAAATATGGCCGAAATAAATTAATGAGCCTTTTATGAATAGCCAAATGAGTTTCAAATGGCAAACGTTCCATTTGTATACATCGTATTTTACATTTTTCTTCTCTTCATTTCCAAAAGCTTGAGTTCTGCAACAAGAACTTAAATAGGAGTCTTGTAAAAAATTTGGAAGAGCACGGAAGAAATCAGGATTTATTTAGCATGTGAGCCAAAATATAATCTTATTTAATGTAGACTTAGACCTTGTTCCTTGACTGGAACAAAGCTTTGATGTTGTGAGTGCCTTTATGGTTTGATAGACATAAACCATCATCAATATCTCTCTTTGGTGTTCTACACAAATGCCTTTTTTTAGTTCTCTTATGAATTTCCACATTAATCAGCGTACAATGCAGTCGGAAAGCATACAAAGTACTAGTTTTATTTATGTTGCCATAAAAAGACACCAAAGATGGATTAAGATGCATTTGGCTCTTCTTTAAGGAAATAGCTTGTTCAGCTGAATGGTTTTGCTGTTTCTTAAGATGGCTTTAGAGAGACACTCCAGGTGCATGCTAGCTCTGTGTACAATACGCGGCATTCAGAGCTGCTGTAAATCTTTTAATACTTACATTTTTATTGCTGATGATGAATATAAGAAAAATGCAACCGTCCAAGCATTTTAGGCAAATGCGCACTCCCACGAGAAGGAAAGTTAAACTATGATTGATGTCGGAAGTTGGTAATAGTTCTTGTAATGTTAAATTAAATCTCAAACCGTAATAGCAATAAGACCTCCATAATCAATAGATGTATTCATGTACTCTGAGCATTGGCGTAGGAACCAAAGAAAGTTAGCGAGGACCGCTTTTTATAACATGTAAGCGCCCCTTCGGGAGTATGCGTGCAACCACACAGATTTCAATTGGAAAATTGATACATGATCACTGGGGAGGCTATTAGCAGAATGTGATATAGACCTATATCAGCTACCTGACCTCATCTTTTCATACATAAGAATGCAATTTCTCACACAAAAAAAGTCAATTGTTCAATAAAGGTCTTTCTACTGATATTTTTGCTTGCTTGTTGTTGAAATGTCATTGGTTTTAAAATGTTGAGAAGATAACCAACTTCTTTAAAATAGGTTTTGTTTTTCTCATCATAAATAGTAAAACATAATACAAGGTCTCTGCATTTTTGCAGATGACCTACTATTCACGGTGTCTGACCTGCTCAAAATTCTCCCATATATTCTTAAGGAAATAGATATCTATGGTGGGATATCCAATTTCCAAGCCAACCTCGCTAAGTGTGAGTTATGTCCCTTAAACACGACGCCTGAAATAGACGTAAATTTGAAGCAGCAGTTCTACTTTACATGGACCAACGCCTCCATTAAATATCTAGGAATTCACTTACCACATAAAATTAAACCACTATATGAACTTAATTTTCCCTTACTTCTAGCAGCTATATCTAAGGATATGAAAACTTGACACAAACCGTGTTATGGATGGTTTTGTAGACTTAACATCTTAAAAATTAATGTGTTACCCCGCATCCTATATGCACAACAAACTATTCCCATAGTACTGCCCAATAAATTTTTCGACACCGTCAAGACGATGTTCATGTACTTTCTTTGGTCACACACACATCCCCGACTGGCAATCTTTCTCCTCACTAAACCTCGTGAGAAGAGGGATTTGGGATTCCCTAATATAGACACATACCACAAAGCCGTACACCTGGCTATGATAAACGCGAACACGACTCTACAATATTCAGTCTTTGAGATTCCCATTCTGACGATCCCCTGGCACAGTTCTGGCCAAATGTTCCTACAACGCAAACAATGGGCAATCATTACCCACACTAGTCATTTCTCCTCGCTGTACCCACTCACACAACCCCTTTTTCGAAGCAGGAATCTCCGGTAAGTCGTACAGACTTTACCACGTCAAACCCTACCTCATGCTTCAAGATATTGTACAGGAGAAAAGATGAAAATCACTGAACAATCCCCCACAGACATGCAACACCTCCAATATACACAACTCGCTCACTTTATCCGGGGCATGAAACTCATACCGGATGGTGATAGACCTCACAACGTTTTAGCCTTTAAAACAAACTTCTTTCCACTCTGTATACACTCTTACAAAAATCACAAACACCTGAATTCCCACGATTCACAGTGAAATGGTTGGGTAAACTACAATCCGGGTTATCACAAACACAGTGGCAGAGGATATTCCTGTAATGACATGAAGGGGTGCTGCCCTGGAGCATCACTGTCACTTTAAATGTGGGAACCAATATAGCAAAGAAATAAAGTCCAAGACACAAATGAATAGGTTAAATCAAGAAATATATATATTTACAGGGAACCAAAGGAGAAAACAAAACAATATATATATACACACAGACAAGGCCACAAAATATATACAGTAAATCAAAATAAGCACGAATCGTGCGGGCAACAAATACTGTAACAGTCCTTTGGTATAAGGGCAGGATTGTGCAGCTACCACGAGTATCAGGTAGGGCACAGATCCAGAGTCGCAAGACCAGAAGTCGAATAAATGAGCAAAGCTGAAGGGACAGGATCACTGGTAGTAAAACAGAGACCACGGAACCAGAGCACTGGATCGGAGGACACAGCAACGAAGGACCAGGAGGACACCGTAACGCAGGATCAGGAGGACACAGGATGAAGACCAGGAGGACCCAGGACACAGGACCAAGTCACAGTATGCAGGAGCCAGGAACACAGGAGACCAGAGAAATAGGAAACAAAAGGCAATGATCTGGCAAGGAGTGAGGGGAGAACCCAAACTAAATAGGTGCTAAACAAGGACCAGGTGAAGTGCTTAATGAAGAGAAATCAGGAATAGTGCCAAACAGAAACAGTGGTGAGTGTGAGTACTGCACGAGGACAAATCAACTAAGGAGTGTCGTGACAATTCCTTAGGGCACACAAGGCATCCACATAAAATACACAATAGTGCTAAAGATGCTTGCTGGAGATGCCAACAACCTGATCCACATCTGGTGGCAATGTCCAACAATAACTAAATTCTGGAAACGCATGCACACACTTATATAGGATATCAACACAATACAATTTCCGTTCTCACCAGAATACATGTTGTTTCTCTTGCCACCACCTCAACAAAAGAGACAGGGAACCGCCTTGATCATGCACCTGCTTATGGTAGCAAACCAACTCATCCCAGTCCACTGGAAACAGATAAATCCCCCATCTGTCATGGCCTGGATCCAACGAGATAAATCACTTATGCCATTTCCAAAAACTACACAAAATTTACACAAGTTTGTGGACCGTGGAACACCTTCCTACAGGTGGATGCTCACATCCAATGAACCGTATGCCCTTCTAGAACACCCGTATTAGCCAACAGATGAATCCTTAAGAGACGGTACGAAACACTCATAAGCCCCACTTATATCGAGTCCTCGTGGAAAACCACACCTCAGTGTAGCAGATTACCTCTGTTAAAATGACAAAAACCATATCGATATGCACAACACACTCCTGTGTCGCTCTATACTACACCAGAAACCTACAATGCACACATATTATTTTATACACTATAAGGTATGCACTATTACTTTTAACCCCTTAAGGACCAAAGTTCTGAAATAAAAGGGAATCATGACATGTCACACATGTCATGTGTCCTTAAGGGGTTAAATGTAGTGATGTCCCGAACAGTTCGCCGAACGGTTCGCCACGGACGGCGAACATATCCGCTGTTCGGTCCGCCCCCTATGTCATCATTGAGTAAACTTTGACCCTGTACCTCACAGTCAGCAGACACATTCCAGCCAATCAGCAGCAGACCCACCCACCCAGACCCTCCCACCTCCTGGCGAACTGTTCGGGACATCACTAGTTAAATGTTATTTATGAAATATTACAACATTTTTATATGTTACAAAACTGTATAAATGTCATCGTATAACGCAAGACACATGTAAGTGTACGCTTATATTTTTGGCAAAATTACTAATTGTCTTTTGCGAAACTCTGTTCCTTTGAATTAATGTTATAATGTATGTAAATACATGTGAAAAATAAAAATAATTTTTCAAAATAGTAAAATGTGATTTTGAAAGTGACATCATCATGACTAGGGGGTCCTTTTTTTTTTTTTTTTTTTTTTTTGTCAATCTTTGTCCCAATGACTGGGGGATCTTACTCCTCTCTCTCACTCTCCCCGAAAGATTTTCTGTTTGTCCCCCTCAATCCCATTACTTCCTGCACCCATGACTCTGAGATGGAATATAATTAACTGTATGTGGGGGAAAATGGGAGAAAGGAAGCACCAATAATATATTTATACTGTTACAAATTTATAAAAACTGTATAAAAAGATTGTTATAAAAAATAACAGTTAAAAATATTTTTTCTAAATCTACAATAATGTCAGAAATAAATATAAAGTGCAAACTGCAAGGAAACAGGCCAGGTCACGGTAGATATTTTTCTTGTGCGGTCAGAAGTGGGTCAGAAGTGACTTGCAATTCGTGTAGACATATAAACAAAACAGAAAAAGGCATCCCAATCAACCTACGTAATCCTCAAAAAGAGATGTACTCACATTTACTAGAGCTAAAACCAGCTCTAGTGTAAGGGGCGTAGAGTGATATGACAGCACTTCTAGGATAGATGGGTTTATTTGCAGGAAAACCGAACAGACAAAAATAGTGCTCTCCATCTAAATTTAACCAGGAGTAAAAAGAAAATCTTACTCACACTTTATTGAGCAGGCTCAATGATTAAGGCACAGGTGGTATGATCCCCACCCTGGATTATTTGGTCCTCACTTGAGTTGTAGAACAGGATGCCAGGCAAATAACAATAGAATAAAAATAATAAAAACAAGGAAAGTGGCACAGTTCTAAATTTAAACATTTTCAAAATTCCTTTATTAAAACGTGTAATCCACATATCCAAATATAATTAACTGTTGTATCACTGCCCCAGTAGCCTCCATCTCAGCAAGAATGACCTTCAAAATATGTGATATGTGCTGTATGTGTGTGTTTGGAAAGATCAGTCTCTTAAATGTGAAGCATTTTGGACCACTTTTAAGAGCAAAACTGCTTCAACCTTGACATTTATGTTGTCTTGAAAGAACAACTCACTTGAAAACCTGCCACAACATGTAAGTGGCATTTAGGTCTGGGTTTTATCAAAGCCGTTCAAAAACACACTATTTCTCCTTCTGCAAAATTCTCTTGAAGATCTACTTGTATGTTTAAAGGGTTACTACACCCTTTTAGCTAAATGCCTTTTTTTTTTTTTTACTTAATGGTGACATGGTATTATTAACTTGGTCCTCCCCTTATATTTAAACATACAAACAAAAAAGTTATAAATAAGTAGCGTGCTTATGACAGATGTCATTGTTGTACAGATTTAAAGGGACACTCCAAAAGCTTCAGATCTCTTGTCTACAGCCATTGCAAGCCATCCCTTCTTCCCTAGCTTAAGTTTTCTGTGGCTGTCCAATCACAGACTTCCCAAAGTTCAATGAGAAGTCTTCGCAAGGCAGGTGTTGTAAAAAGATTAGGTCCAATTCTTCACACATAAAGCATTTTAGCTAGCTCAATGAGAAGTCTCCACTGAGCTAAAGAACCAGGAAGTAACAAGACCAGTTGTCTGATTGACAGCCAGCGGGTGTAACAAGATAAATTATAAAAATGCCAATTTCTATTGAAATCTGCACGTTTTTGTAAAATTAAAAAGAGGACTCCATTTTCACACATAAAGTACTTTAGCAACAGCGTTCCGGGCTGCCTAAGTCTCATATGGAGAGGGTGCAACTATACGCCGACACAGAAGCGCATACTTCTCTGTATGTACAGCGTTTTAAAAGATTCCTTACTTATGAACACTTCTAAAAGCAAATAGTGGTCATGGTGGTTGTAGTAACCATTTAGGAACGCAGTTTTGTTGTATGAACCACATTTGGTTTAGCTCCGAGGTAGATACTGTTCGTCTTCACTGCTATGTTTTGATGTGGTAACATTTATGGCTGCGTCAATGATGGCAGAATGTATAACTGATGGCACAGTGGCTTCAGACCATCACACCCCTACAACTGTGCTTGACAACTTGGATTTGTTTTTATTTTTTGTTGTTTTTTTGACAATCACAGTAATTGATGCACAAAAGTTCAACATTTGATGCATTTATCTTTTAGTGACCTTCTGCAGATCTCACTCAGACTGTAGGTTCACAGAATATCTGTTGTTTTGAATTTTCACTGTTAATAGAATAATTCAAACTTTATTTGACTGTGAATTTTGGATCTCACAAACCTTAGAATTCGTATTGTAAACTTAATGGACAACTGTCATCATGTTTTCACTCCTCAGTTTATTACATTTAGCGAAACCTAATAATATTTTTGAAATAATGTATATTGATTTTTGGGTGAGAAAAGTTAACTTTTTTTTTATCTAAATGAGGAGTATGTCGGGTCTCATCGGTTATCTGACCAACGTCTGCTCACCCTAGCTTGCCTGCTGCTGCAGTTTCACACTGAGCAATCACAGTAGCAGGCAACTTAGAATGAGCCAAAGTCAGTCAGAGAACAGTTGAATCTGACCTGACATAGATCCTCATCCAGATATAAAAGTAACATTTTCTCCAAAAAGCCTTCATGCATCATTAAAAATATATATATATAATTAAAGGGACACTATAGGCACCCAGAGCACTTCAGCTCTTTGAAGTAGTCTTGGTGCAGTGTCTCAGGATTCTAAAAACTGCAATTGTAATTATTGTAGTTTCTGATAAACTGCAATAACTACCTTTTGAGTGTTAACTCCACCTCTAGTGACTGTCTACCAGAGAGCCACCAGAGGGATTTATTTACGTGAGCATGGCGAGCATTAGGTCCCCCATGCTGGCTGACTTCTGAGGAGGAAGAGCAGAGGTGGAACCTGAACCAGCGCTAAAGTATCTCAGCGCTGGGATCAGGTAAGTTACTGTAGGGAGCTATAGTAACAGCAAAAAAAACAACTCTGTTTTCCTGGTGCTATAGTTTCCCCTTAAGCTTCATAAAATGTGATAAACTTTTAGAAAATGAGAAGTAGGTTTTCTACAATGTCTTGTCACATAACCTCATGGTGAAGTCCAGTTTGGACAGATCTCAATCCTTTACATGGTAGGGCCTCCATTACTTAAATCCTTAAATCTGTATCTCTATTTAAATACCCAGTTCTGATTATTCTATTTATTTGAGCGTATAAAATCACGTCTGTATTTTATGATTGAATGTGTGGGTGAGTTTATGTGTATGTAAGTACATCTACAAATGTATTAATGGTTTCACGCTAGTCTCCAGCTCTGTACTAGAATGGCATAGTGCCTAATGATTTTCTTTTCTTTAATAAACGAAAAATGTATCAGAAACATTCATCTGTAACTGTGAAATGACAAATGCAACATAATTAGCTGAAGTGTCATCTGTTCCACTTTAGGCTTTGAAGGCAGTGAAAGAACTACAAGATGGTGCCGAGCCTCACATTGGAAACCTGCAACCCAAGCGTGAAAGAACACGCGACTATCACATCAAACTGCATGTTAAGAGAGAGGTGATGGAGCAGCTGCCAGTAAAGATGAAAGTTACCCCAAAGCTCATAATAAAAGCTGAGACACAAATCAATGGGGATCAAGGCAGGTAGGTACAGTCTGTTCAACGTTTGCCCAGTATTGTGGACTTTGTAAATGGAGGTTGATATAACACCCCGAAGCTGGGAGCTTGTGTTTCCACTTGCTGCTGAAAAAATAAATGCTGCTACTTGAATTCTGAAACCCTGAGCAATATACACCAAAAAAGTCCTATGATACGTTATGTTGTGATTCGTTGTTGTGGATTCAGAAGGGAAGCACCCATCATAAATCTATACAGCTGGGTGACCTGCAACTCCCATAACGCCTAGTCTAGCTGTAATTCCTGGGTGTCAGGGTTCCACAGTTAGGGTGCAAACTTTACAATGGTCACCTTCTGTGTGTAATAGTAGGCAATTGTCCTTACTCCGTGAAAGATTTCAGGAGGAAAGCAATCATTTTCAGTTGTTAAGTAAGTGTTACAGTTGCACTTTTCATTCTTCACAATGGTGACTCCCTATCATTGATTTTCATTTAAAACTTGTTATACAAAAAATAACCTAATAAACTAAATTTAAATGGCAGTCTAAGGACAAAAACCACTTCAGGTTAGTGAAGATGTGTTTTGATGAGAATATCCTGACCCTGCAGTTTACTTCTGTTCCTGGTTAGAGATTCGGCACTGTTTTAGTTTGTCCGAAGCACACCTCCAGTGGCTGTCAATCAGACGGTAACACAAACAGCTTCTGTGTGTGATGTATCAATTTCATCTTGATCTTCACATTTGCAGTCAGCACGCACAGCATGCTATAAGGCCAAGTGCTTGCTTTAGGACTAGCAGGAGCCTTGCCGTGAGCAGGGCCGTCTTTAACATTGATTGGACACTAGGCAGGCATTTGTTTGGGCCCCCTGGATCCTGCCATCCCTCGCCCTCCTTCCACACTTTCACTCTCTGGCATGCAATCACGCCCTCCACCCCAACACAGTGGCAGAACTAATGTAGACAGGGCCCTGGTGCAAGACATTGTTTTGAGCCTTCCCTCTAGCGCAAGAGCAGAGAAAAGATAGATCCTCATCTGTTGTACAATTCCAACGATGCTATGCCAGCTGGGGATCTACCATTTGTCCATTTTTGCAGGGCTGTATTTGTGAGCAGTGTTTGTGCATTTGAATGTGAGCATGTTGTTGTATACAGTATGTGTGTGCATGTAGGGTGTAGTATTGGTGTTTAAGTGTAGGGATGTGTTTCCATATACTTTTTGAGTTTGAATTCAGGGGTGTGTTTGTATGTAATGTTTGCAGGGGTGTGGTTGCATGTTGTGTTTGATTGCCGTGATGTATGAATGTCAACATTCACAGATATACATACACATTAGCACACTGATACATGCACACATCTGGACACATGCACACACTGACAAAGACTGGCGTATACACACACAGCCACATACATAAATACACGTGCACACACAGAGATAAAAACACTGGCACATCCACACACAGAGATACACACTTACACACACTGACACAGATATATACACAAATACATATGTATTTGTGTGCAGTGTTGGCGTAGGAATGCTGGGATGTATGCATTGTCACACAGATGCACTCTCACACAAACAGTGATACACACAGGAACACAGATACACATGCAGTGGTGTATTTGTGTGCATTGTTAATGTTGGAATGCAGGGTTGTATTTGTGTGCAATGTTAGATGGGATGTATGCATTGCCACACCCACAGATACACACTTACACATACTGACACTCATACACACACAGGTACATATACACAGACAAGCAGGTACACATACAAACTGACACATAGGTATACATACACACAGATACACATAAACACTGACACAAAGGTACATGTACACTGACACAAACACAGCCATATAAACACACACTGACACAAACAGCCAGATACACACTTACACACACACAGTCAGATACAGACACACACACACACAGTCAGACACAAACACAGCCAGATACAATCACAGCCAGCCAGATACACACACACACACAGTGAGATATACACACACACACACAGTCGGATACACACACACAGTGAGATATACACACACACAGTCGGATACACACACACACACACACACACACACACAGTCAGATACACACACATACTGCCAGATACACACACAGTCAGATACACACACACACAGTCAGATACACACACACACAGTCAGATATACAAACATCCACCAGATATACACACATACAGCCAGATACACACACATACAGCCAGATACACATACACAAATACAGCCAGATACACATACAGCCAGATACACACACATACAGCCAGATACACATACACACATACAGCCAGATACACATACACACATACAGCCAGATACACACACATACAGCCAGATACACACACATACAGCCAGATACACATACAGCCAGATACACATACACACATACAGATACACACACACACACATACAGCCAGATACACACACATACAGCCAGATACACACACATACAGCCAGATACACACACACACACACATACAGCCAGATACACACACACATACAGCCAGATACACACACACACATACAGCCAGATACACACACACACTGACACAAACACACACACACAGTCATATGAATTCACATAGTTTAGCCACCCTCCTTACCTCTACAGAAGTGTGGCTTCCCTGTGGTCCAGTGGGAGCTGGATGGCTGAGATTGATGGGAGTCTGCTTGTTATTGGTCTGTACCTCCTCCATGTATGTCTCCTCCTCCCCAGCGGCACTCTGTTAATTGGGAGGAAGTGACCTCACAACACTTCCTCCCAGCAGGCAGGAAGACCAAGGCCCGGTCTGCAGCTCTCTTAAAGGGCCGGGGGGCCCCTGATTACCTCACCTGCTGCAGCCCACCGGGATATTTCTCAGTATCCCGGTGGGCTGTTCAGACCTGGCTGCAGGCAGGGGGCCCACAGGGCAGCTGCTTTGGGCCCCCCAGGAGCAACTGGGCCCGGGGCAGCTGCCCTGTTTGCCCCTTGTTAAAGACGGCCCTGGCCGTGAGCGTGCCTGCATGTTTTAAGATAATCCTCCATCGGAGTTGTGCGGATTCATAGCTCTGCTATATGCTGGCAGATGCACCCCTGGGCGTAAATTGTGAGCTGAGCTGGCACTTCTCTATCAGAAGCATTATAATGGCAAATCACAGTGAAAGCCACTCACTGTGTTTTCTGTGTGTATATGAGTGTGTGCAGATCTGTGTGTGTGTTGCAGTGCATACATCCCAGCATTCAAATGCTGCACACAAATAAAAAAGCATCACAAAACTGCATAATTTATAATAAAGGTATAATTTGTACACAAACCGGCAACTGACGGATAGCTACTTCTTACATGTACACTCATCGTAAACATAACTGCTATAAGTAAAAAGATGTGCAGTAAGTGGCTGATAGTCTGAAACATTACACAAGAAGATTGAAGTGATCAGGGCTAGCGCTACTCAATATCCCAGCAAAACCTTATAGGGCAACTACAGAGAAGGTCAGATGACAAGTATATAACCGTATTAGAATAATGTGAACAGCCGAAAGAGAAATGTTTGCTAAATGCAGAATGGCAGGTAAATGGAAGTTCAATTTTCACAATTTGGCTATCTTTAGTCCATTTGGCAAATCACAAATGGCAAATTAGGATTATTAGGGTTATTTAACCAAATGTGCACTTCTATTCTACTGCAGCTCTGTAGACCTTTGAAATTAGCCAAAGCTCCATGTAATTTTTTGGCTGTTTAGGGCCGAATTGGCTTTGTTTGGTCATTCCATTTACCCTGATACAGACTAGGGTAACTGCTCCTTAATCCTAAGTAACCCTCTCAAACTACGCCAAACACCGCTTAGCACTCTAAGGATATCCGACATCCTGCACCATCTCATACCTGGCTCTTAAATTAGTGACTTTTTGTTTTTTATTCTTATAGCCGTGAAATTCATTAAAAATCTGTTTATCATTCGGTTCTTAGGGAATACAGGGAACCACAGACACTTTTTAACAACTAAATGTTGAAAATGAAGCCAAATGCAAACAAAATGAAAACCAAATTTGGCATTTAGTAGGCAGACCCCATGGCCTTGCATAGGTAACCGCAAGTAGGTTTAGCCACCTCTTCGGCTGCAGATATAAACAAATGCTGTCTTTTTAGTTCAGTTGATTTTTCTGGTGCTAGAATTCTCAATTAGGCCATAAACTACCTGTCCTTTGTTGGTCATTTGGATAGAGAATGTATTAGAATTCCCCTTTAAACTAGAAATTTTTGTCATGATCTGTGCCTTCAAGAAAGTTTATTTCAATGTGCTGCCTCGGTCAGTGATGGCAATCCTTGGCTCCCAGGACTACATTTCACGTTGAGGCTTAGCCAGCATCGTGAATATTGACAGCCTTTTTTGCATATCTTGTGGGTTTTCTCAACATATTACTTTAACAAAAGTGTTATAATGCAAATCATCTGTAAATAAGATGTGATACTGCTGTTTCCTTTTGTACTTTTGCCATTGATGCCTAAATGTAGTGTAATTTGCAATCCTTAGTACTTCTCAATAAATGTCTCCGTGGCTTTTCTTTACTTTTCACTGAGAGGTATGTAGGTAATGGTTTCTCTAATAGGCTTATGCATCTGGGTCACTGAATAATTCAGAGATCCATTTTTATAGCTAATGTTTTCCTGTAAAGTAGTACTTTGATGCTTTATGTTGTTTTAACAAGATTCAGGCATAAGTACACCAATTGTGAGAGCATATATTCTCGTAAAAAATACAAAAAAAAAATGCTTTTAAATAAAGCTCAAATGAAAATCTAGCACTTGCAGAACATTACTGCATTTCCCAAGATCTGCTTTATTTACTATGTTTTTAAGTAAGGTTCGTCAACGTTTTCTGAATTCCCCATTCTGCTATTAAAGAGCTTGAATTTTTAGTGGAGTTTCTGGAGATGTTGTAAAAGTGCCCCATATTTTACACAGTTTTTTTTCAATCTTTCTAGCAACGCCAGTGATAGTTGGCTTCAGAGAGAGAGGAAGAGTGTGTGTACATGTATATTATATATTTATATTTTACATGTGCATGTATGTATATTTTATATATAAAATTTTTTTTTTTTTTTTTTTGGTATATTTGTGTGTTCCTCATTCTCTGGTCCTCTAACCGGGGGTCTGATGGTTCTACGAAGTGGCTGTTTTAGCTGTTCCTAGAAATGCACTCTTCTGGACAAAGATCTCAGGTGTCCTACCTGGAATCTGCTGAAACCACTTTCCCAGCTTAGGGGTTACAGCACCGGATGCACAAATGGGATTACTACTGCTGTCACATTCCACATCCTTTCTATCTCCTCCATCAGTCCTTTTATTTGTCCTACTTGTGTTATAGTCATTGGGTATTGCCACATCATCCACCAATGCAGTTTTCCATTCTTTGTCTACTTGTACTTGCTTCTAAATCTGGATCTAAAAGTCCCACAGGACCTTAGCCCTGTCATTCTCAACTACGCTTTGTAGCATCTCCCATTTAGACTTTGGTCGGTCAAGTCCATATTCTGTGCATATGTTTTAGTACACAATCACAGCAAGTTGGTTGGGCCTCCCCGTGTATGCTAGCATCTTGCACCTGGCTACTATGTGCTGGATAGGCTTGGAGGCCTCTATGCTCATTCTGCACCCTCTGGGCATTTCTGGTGTGGTGAACCCTTGTTTCTATTGATCTGGTGCTCAGTCCCTATTCCTGCTTCACTAGGATTAGTGCCTCAGTGCTGTCTTTTAGTCCTGCTTTTAACCATCCACTGGTAGAATTTTGTAATGTTAGCCACATACACTATTTGGTACATCTCATGAAGTGGTTTGTCTTGCCATGACACCTCTGCAATCTTCTATTTGTTCTTGTCTCAGGCATTCCCTTACCAGTTAATCTGTAGGCGCCATCTCCACGATGTACTTGTGAATGCACATCATGAAGATAATCTTGACACTCATCAGGCCCTTCCTAACAGGTTTTTATTGAGTTTATTGAGCAGTTTGTAACATTCGCTATATTCAACAATTAAAAGTCAGTCTTTAACATCATATAAGGAGATGAAACTTTGAGACAGTATATAGGTATCAGATAGACAGAAGGCATTATGCTTGATGTAACTGTGAACAGTTTAGACTATCCGATTAGGTGAAATTCACAAATATCCTACTATGCATCAGTGAGTTTTAGGGAGTCGCTCCCCCACGATTCATCTCCCTGTCGACTAGCATCTGCACTCTCCTGACTGTCCTCCCCTCATTCCATCCCCTCCATTTATTTTGAGTAGTTACTGGTTCTATCCATGGAATCCTGCTCGTCTCTTGGACAGTTTATTATTCCATTTGGATTTTGTTATCCTCTTTGCCTCTTTCTTATGACTGCCATGTGTTTTTGTTATCACTAGGTACTTGAAGCTGTTCTCTATTTGGCCTTGTGGCACTTTAACCTCCTTTAGTCCAGTTAATCTTCCACCTTACTGCTATCATCTGCTCACAATTATCTAGTCTGAACGATAATACTGATGTCTTTGCTCTATATACTAATTAGGTGGAACAGGGAGTCTTCACTCTTGGCATACAGCTGGATGTCATCCATATAGAGGAGGTGACTGATGGTATTTGCACTTTTGAACCTGTTTCCATATTTACTTTTCATAATGACCTGGCTGAGGGTATTGAGGCCTATGCACTGCAGCCTTGGGGATAACATATCACCTTGGTAATCGCCACCTTTGTTTTTCACTTGTGTTGTTCTAGGGTGATAAAATTGTGATACCAACATCCAGCATTTGGAAACTTTTCCACAGTGCAATTTCTTCTGAGAAAAAGAAAACTGCGTTTTCAAACGCTACCAGGATGACAAAACATATCCTTGCATGCTTGAGCTGTCCTAAAGACATTAAAATACTTAAAGGGAACCTGCCACCTCTTACCTGACTCCACTCCCAAAGCAGAGCAAACCTCCTCCGTGAAGCCAACTTCGTTGCCAGCATGTCCGTGTCTGAACAGAGTGACATCCGCCATTGCACATGCTCTGTGCTTGCTACACATGGTGAGCAGAAGGCCCGCCTGTGGAAGGTCTCTTTTGCTCTCTTTTATGAATCAATTCCTCGGCATACTCTATGCCAATGAATCGATTGACTGGTGGGAGAAAAACTTATTTTGAATAGATTTTTCTCCCAATCTATACATTTGCTAGCAGAATGTACAGATGAAATTGTATGGTCTTAAAAGAAGAGCAAACTTAGTTTGGGGCTTAACGGGTGCCTTTTAATAGAATTAAATGTGGCCAATGCTTCCCAATGAGAAAACTCACTACTAGAGGACTATAGTTCTATGTAGTGAAAGGAGAACCCTCATGGGTGTCAGCTTAACAGTCAGGGGGGCTTTCCCATTCGCTTTTATTAAAGGGCCTTCCCGTTAAATAGGCACTTAATGAGGTCCCCCTTATTCCTGTTTTATTTAACACCCCTAAAGCACATAAGCAAGCAATTTCTTTAAGGGCCCGGAGTGTCTCTTTAATGGAAATTTGTGTTTTTTCTCTACAAAATAATGATCCTAGAGGATTGATTAGAATAATAGAACTGAAAGCAGAGCTTCCTTAGTGATTTTTTCGATTTCAGTCATTTTGACCTTTAAATGTAATTTTCACATTAATGAATAACCCTATTAAGTTTGATATGGTTTTTTTTTGGGGAGGTTTGCTTGTTTTCATGCACTAGCTAAAGAGATTCCTTACAGTTCACGTTATTAACATATCTGTACCGTGTAGTTCCATTGTAACTTTTTTTGTTTGTTTGTTTTCTTTAAAAAAAAAAAAAAGAAGCAAATTTAGTTTATTATTTCGTGAATAAGCTGTACTTGTATTTCAAGCATAATACTATACACACTGCATTCTGTGTTCCCAATGTAATAAAATGACTTTCATTTTGTAAGAGTCTTCCACTTTGCATTACTTTTACATTCTTCCAAAGACTTTTATATCCCATAAAAAAAAAACATGGCTTTAGAATTTTAGGAAATCTTACATCTCTAACTTTAATACAGGCTTGTACTTTTGTTGCCTACAGTTGATATTAAAAAAATAAATAATAGTAATTAGTAGTGTGTTTTTTTGGGGGGGGTTTGTACTTTTCTGCACCTTTTTACTGTTGGCTATTGTTTAACACAGTGAAGTGTGTGTAATTATGGTGATAATTAATGGCCATTTGTGAAAGCCGATTATGTTGTGTAAATGAGATTTGAAAGTGTTGCCATTGTTAATGACTGAGCTTAATCCCCCCAACAGAAATCCATAATTAATTAATGAGTTCCATCTTGGCTCCATTTATGTATTAATTTAAATGATTCAGTCTGCATAATGATATTTAAGACACACAATACGCCTGCTTATATTACACTGGGTGCACGGCTGTATGTAGGTTTATACTACGCAATCATTCATTACATTTTATTCTCACCTTATTCTTTCAGATCATTCATGGAAAAAAATAATTACAAAGCGCCAAATCAGACCACAGGTTATAGTAATAATAACCAACCGTCACAGAGTGAATGGGACATTGATCTATGTGACAGTGACTGGGAATCCACTTCTGGGAGCTTCATGATTAATCTGGACACCTTACAGGCCAATGGAAATTTGCAAAATGGTGGCCATCCTGAAGATCTGGATTACCCTGACTTTTGTCGTTTATTTGTTTATGGTCAACAAAGAGACCTCACCATGTGTGTAAGTACCAGCTCATTTATAATGGGGGAAGGTAGGTGTAATCTAGCCTAGTACACTTGCCTCTTCCGTTTGCTCTGTGGAGCTAACAGAAAAGAAAAAATGCCTTCTAATTGACAGGCTTTTTGGCACAATTTTCCTAAAATGTAAAAAAAAAAAAAAATACAAACTCCAAAAACAGTGAGCTGAAAGTGCTTCATGTGGAATGTTCTTTTAAGACAAAGGGACTCCACCCTGTAAAATATCATGTAAGGGTTTATTGCAATCTATCTAATGGAAAGCAGGCTTGTTCTAAATGCCTCCAGCAGATGGAATGTTAATAAATAATGCACATAATTAGATCAATAGAGCAGCAGAAAAAAATTATGGGAAGAACAAAACACAAAAAGAGTTGAAGAGCCTATTGTGTTATGTTCCACGGCCATTATCCATGAGAAAGTGAACATAACAACAACAAACGCGTTGGGTTTCACTTTTCTCTCTTTTTCTGTTCTCCCAATATTTTATCTGAATTACATGTGTCAACTTAATGTCACGGTAGTTTACCCCAACTCGCAAGATTTAGTCCAACAATTGACAATATAGAGCAGATACGTCTTACCGGACCTTAGAATGGCCGGACTCGACGTAAAGGAGAGAAATACAGAGTCAGGAACAATCCGAGGTCAAGGGTACAAAGAGACAGCGAAAACAAGAACGAGCCAAGGTCTGGTACACAGAAATCAGTAAGCTGGCAAACAAGACAAAACAGGGATAAAGAGATAAACGGAGTCAGATACAAAGCCAAGGTCAAGTACGAAAAATCGGAACTGAAACAGAAACCACGATAGGGCAGGGAGTTAAGGGAGAGGTAAATATAAATACCCTTACATTTAATTTGATTGGCCCCTGTCATATCCACGCCCCCAAAATGTGAGTGTATGGGGAATGTGGGATGACAGTGGCCAGTGGGAGACCATTTAGTTTTCGGCTCCCACTTCCCCTTTAAGAGTGTGCCCGAGACGCGCGGCGCTTTTGGAGCTAGGGGGGACACGTGACCGCATCCCGCGGTCAGTGCCCGCCGTCATCCGAGCCCCGAATGAGCCGAGCGCAGCGGGAACTGAGGACCTCGGCCGGCCCCCAGATAAGGTAAGTACCGCTACACTTAAACAGTTTATTCATATTTTCAACTGCTGGAGGCTTTTTAAACTCATTATTATTTTTCTTTTAAAGAATTTAAACATATCCTTGCTGTTTATAAAACAAACAAAAAAAAATCGATGAATTAACCTTTTTGGCAGATGCCCTTAATTTAGGGATGTCAATCTATCCAAAAACAAAGCTGATGGTTATTGTATTATTGAAAAGCAGATTGAAGAAGACACTTGTTATGGTTTTTTTTTTTTTTTAAAACCTATTAAAGAGCAATCTGTCTATATAGTTTCCAGTTTCTCTGACAAACTATACACAACCAATGCCGTTTGGACTGATATTGTCTCAATGGCTGAGCTGTATCTCTTGGTATTGGTCACCAGATAGTATCACTCACTCACTGATTACAGTCTTCCAGGCTTAATTAGTACGTTGGGAGCTGGAATCGATCAATAGCTGCAGATGGAAGTTCTTTAAATCACGCTTCGTGTTGGTTTCCATGGCTATATTGCTGTTGTGTCTCTGTTAGAAGTGTCCTTTAAAGCTACAAAAAAATACCTAAATAAAACATTTCATTTTTTATATGGATTCTACTTTGAGAAGAAGTCAGTTTTTCATGGATGTTGCAGTATTTGTAGTTATCATGATCATAGAAAACATTTAATTACAATGTATATCATACAGACTTTGCAAAATATAAGGCATGGTACATGTCTGAGATTTACCAGTGCATTAACATAAAAAAAAAAAAGAAAATAAAAATATATAAAAGAGAACATTATAAACGGAGTATGAATAAAAGTGCCAGCACCGAATGACATGCACTCTTCTTTCAAGGAACACAAATGCTTTAGTCCCCCTGTCCCTAGTTATGTAGGTCGTCTCCCTCCATCCCCCGTGTGTCCCATAAAAATAATAAAATAAAGGTTTTTACTTACCTTTTACCAGCTCCCTCTGTGCTGCTAATCTCTCTTTTCTCCTCCCACAACATCATGGAGGAGTTGTGGCCACCTCCGGTGTGGTCCGATCCACATAATGGAGCACTAGGGACCTCATGCACACTGCATGCGCTTCTAAGCTTCCCCACAGGAAAGGATACAAAAAACACACACTTCCCTAACACCCCAAAAGTACCTTAAAAATACATAAAACCCCACAAAAGTTACATCCACTGATAGCCCCGATCTGGGTGACCAACATATCCAAAAATCACCCAGATCTGTTCAGGAATTTCCTGGAAGTCATAATTTGACCAACTGCATGAATGGTCCCATGCCCAAAACAGTTCCAGAGAATCAGGGCTTGCGGTCGGTCTAGTTCGGTAGTTTAACCCCTGAAGGAACAAACTTCTGGAATAAAAGGGAATCATGACATGTCACACATGTCATGTGTCCTTAAGGGGTTAAAAACCAAAGAAACTACCGAATATAGTCCATGTTCTTACCCTGGAGCTTGTTTCCCTTGTTCATGGGAACGTTTCCACCAAACAGTGTCTTTCAAAGTGTCGTAGAAGTGAACTCAGTCGATCATGGAAGTCCAGTGGTGTTCGGGAGTTTGTGTCTGAACATAGTTAAATGAACTTAACAACCAAACACCGCTGCCTGTCTTCATGCGAACAAGATGGCCACCACCTCGTGGTTGTCCATAGGAATTGCGGCCAACCAGACGAACACTTAGAACACTGCGGTGGAAATTGTTACAAAGTATCAATTAGGCTTAACAAGCTCCAGGGTGGTCTCCGGTTCGTGCGGCTGTTCGGTTCCTGAACCATAAAGTCCAAATACACGAACAGAGACTTTAACATTCTATTTTACAGGGCCCATAGTCTGTGGGCAGGAGGCTGGCAAGCAGGCTCCTCCAGGAGCTCATGGCAAACTCACTTGAACAGTAGAGACTAACCAGTACTCTGAGCCTAATAGCAGACTTTGTATGTACTACTTCCACTGCTCCATAATAAAAGTAACATAACTGCTAACATCACCAATTCACCATTAGCAAATTCTGAAAATAATTTGGGATACTTTGGACGTATGATAGAGTTTAGTGAATAAACCCCATATAGTTCACTGTAAAATGCTATTGAAAGTTAAACAGAATGCGTCTAGCTAAAAGGCCTTTCCGGCTTTTATGTTTTTGTCAAAATCAAGGATGCATTATAGTCCTCTCCTTGCTGGCAAAAAAAATCTGTATTTTAAAAATGGCATTATAAAAGGCACCCAGGTTATGTTGTCACCGCAGCACTTTAATAATGCAACAAAAAGATTGTCCCTTGAAAATGTTTTTATTTTCAGCACAGCGTACTTTGACGTATAAAGCAAATCAAACACCTTCAGCTGTCTTGTAATGACAGATTGTGCTCAGAGATGTCGTGGGATTAAATGTCATTGAAAACACAAACTGATCTGTGATATACAAATATGTTCTAGAAATGTGCGATTTATTCATAAATCTCTCAAATTCTATGCAAACGGGTACATACAAATTACAGGCTGAGAGCAGATTTACACAAGTTTGCATTGCAAAGAAAAGAATTGTATAGTAGCACAATAGCTAAACCGTGGTAAAACTAACTGTAAAGTGTAGGGGAGCAGGGTTTTATTCAATATTTTGCCACCTTTTGAGTGTTAGAAACAGAAAGTGTGGTGGGATTAAACCATAAATGTACAGCATTTTGGTTTAAGGATCACTATAGGGTCAGGAACACAAACATGTATTCCTGACCCTATAGTGTTAAAAACACCATCTAGCCTGGTCCCCCCTCGCTTCCCTAAATATATAAAAAATTTACTTGTATTCAAGTATGTAGCTGCTGTCTCTGCTCCTGACCCGCCTGCTTTGCTAACATGATCAGAAGTGATTCTTTTAGCCAATCACAATGCTTTCCCATAGGATTGGCTGACACTGTCAAGGAAGCAGATCAGGGGCAGAGCCAGCATGATTCAAACACAGCCCTGGCCAATCAGCATTTCTATAAGGAAAGTTCAGTGTCTCCATGTGATGTAAACACTGCATTTTCTCTGAAAAGACAGTGTTTACTGCAAAAAGCCTGAAGGGAATGATTATACTCACCAGAACAAATACAATAAGCTGTAGTTGTTCTGGTGACCAGAGTGTCCCTTTAAAGTCATGAATAGGTTGGTATATAAAGCAGTTTCTCTCTACCCAAACTATCATGTACATCTGGTGGTCCATTATATATTGTTTTTTCACTGGAACAAATGGGAGATATCCTTAAATCCATTGTGTGAGCAGGATTACATTTTGTATGGAGAATGAAGTGAGTCTAGAGACTATATATTAAATGTCTGGAGTCTTGGAGGACACAATAATTCATCTGTTAGAGACGGATTCCATATGGATGGAGGTTGATTGGATTGAATGGGGAGTGATGCCTTTTTTATGGTCTGATTTTATTGTGGTCGTGGCAGCATCCAATTTATGAAAAATAAAAAATAGCAAAAGCAATTAACAGAACTGTTTTTATCTGCCCTCAGTCTTCCACAGGCACATCGTTTATATCGGCAGCAGAAAAATTTCTGAATGAAGAAAATAGACGGGCAGAGGACTTTGAGAAAGTCTTGAACTCCCATATTGAAGAAATGCAGAGATATTCAGAAAACACGTTGGCCAAATATACAATTCTCCATCAAAACAGACATATATGAAACCTCAAAGAAAAGGACTGCAACTGCCACAGATGCTATGGGCATCTAAAAGGAACCATTTCATATTACGATCCCTAAAACAAATTAAAACCATTAAAATAACATGCAAACAGAATTAAAATGTAAATTATATACCTGTACACATATATTGTAAAACAAATTCTAATGTTTGTTTTAAGAACAATGAATTATTCACAGTAAATGACAATCTTTAAACTAAGATTATTTTAACTCATTGCTGCAATATTTGTTTTTACATACCCAGAATTGGCTGTTTCTGCTGATGACATAATATATTTTCTTGCACTAATATCATGCCTTAAATCTTGATGCAATCTTTCAATAAAAACAAAAAATAAATTATTTTATTTGTGAATACTTTTAATCCAATACTTATACACTACCAGTTAATATATTAAACAACACTCGTTAGTACTGTCTGGGAATGGCAAATTACCTTACCTCCTTAATCTTCAGACCTCAATCTCCGAGACTGTGTAGAGACCATTTTCAGTGTTTATTCTTCTACATTAAATTGTTTTGGTAGAATGTATTGTGGAAGACTGAATAATACCACAGCTTGCTGAATCAGTGTTTATAGACAGACTAGGATTTCTTGAGCCTTTTGTTTTGTAATAAATTATATTTATCGAGTTCATGTAAGGGTAAATTTCAAAACAACCATGCTCAGCCATAGTCAAAGGACATTGGCACTTTAAGGGTTACTCCAAGCACCATGATCTCTTATTATTATGGAGTGGTCATGGTGCGAGGACCCTGTATGGAGCGCTGCACATACTGGGATATTTAGGCAAGAGTTCTGAGCTGGTGAATGTCAATTTTGTGCATATACCTTGCACAAATCATTAATTGCTGTCATTGGTGGAGGCACTGCGCCCAGTGGGATCTAGTTAAGAGGCAAGCCATTGCAAAATGATTTGCGCCCCATTGCTGGGGAGTAGAGCCAGGGTACTCCTGGCACCATAACTACTACAGTGGGCAGCAATGTTTATGATGCTGAGTAAGCGCTTAACATGGTGATACACAGGTTACTAGATTTGTATCAGAACATATTTTCAAGATTGAAAGCCTATGTAAGAGTTTACTAGAAGACCTATGTGATTTGCTCACACAAGTGACATGTCTCCTTGTGATTAATGTGCCTTAATGATGACACACCTTGTTAAGTACGCCCAGGAGAACGCACATAATCTTTCTGTGAAGGGAACAGTTGGGTATCTGTAGATGCCATTATGTTAATTTCGGTCACAATGTTCTGGCCGTCATTTTTTTTTTTTTACAAACCTACTAAAACTTCTATATACTGAAAAGTGGATTGCTGTAGGCAGAGCTAGTTCTGAAAACCTAATTGCGGCATGTTTGTACGTCACACTGACAGCAATATTTCCTGCAAAGCTTCACTGTCTTTACACATCTTGTGACCTAGACCTTTAGCACACCGGATGTAGTGGACTACATTGCCCATAATTCTTGGCTAGCTGTTGATCATGGAAGATATAGTTCACAACAGCAGGAATTCCATAGTTCAGCCATTACTATCCTAGTGAGAGGATACGCTCTCTTATCATACTCCGTATAGCTATAGTTAAACGTGATTAGTACAGTTTATTGATGCATGTATATTACTGCGAAAACTGCTGAGTGCTAGGCTCTTTATCCAGCATATAAAAATAAATAGATTATTTACATTTCACTTTAATATGCCCTTGGGGACATCCACAGAGAACATTCAAATTAACTAGATGTGCTGAGAATGCAAATGTAACCTCTCTAACCCTGTAGAATAATATTCAGAATTTTACTTTGCCAGCAACTGCCATTTCTGTAAGCACTGAACGTAGCACGTCACAGACCGGAATGTCAGTAATGACATGTCGTAGGTTTGCTGCTTTTACCGGTAAATAAATGTCTTCTGACATTAAGCTCAATGCTTATGAGCCGGAGGGCAAGACCAGATTATTTACTTTTTTTTTATTTATAACCAGGAAGATTTCATGAAGGTTTCTCTTGTTTTAATGTACTTGCTGCAGAGCTCGATCAAAGCAAAAATAGTTTGTTACATATTAAACTCTTTTATTTCTCTATTTTTACTTGTACTCTAATGACTGGAGCAGTTTCAGCATTTTTACTTTGCTCAGTTGGAATTTTAAGCTGAATCCATATATATTCTATATCGTACACATTCACAGTACAGAAAAGGTGTTCTTATAATACACTTTTGTATCCCATTATAGAATGCTGAGGAATATATCAGCATTATGTAAATGGTAACTATCTTTGCTTTATCAAATCCTTTAACTACTACCAGACTAGAGTATAAACATTTTTTAAAATAAATAAATTAATTCAGGGCTGGAATGGCTCACCGTGACACTGCTGCTCCTCTGCAGAACCACATATATGGAGTGCGGAGGAGCACCAGCAGAGGTGCTGAATGTTTCATAATATAGCAGGTGGTCCCCCTGCAGTCATTAAAGGAACATTATAGTGACACTTTCTTGGCACTTTAGTGTTAATAGGTCCTCCTCCCCTACCTTAATCCAGCGCCTGGCTTCCTCAGCACTGATGACCTCTCCTCCCCCTGCCTACGTCAGCTCCCAAGTGGAGCCGAATGCGCATTCAAACCGCCCAGAGGAAAGCATTATTAACGCTTTACTATGGGGATCTGAACTCACGCTGGACTCCGTGAAGACGTCCAGCGTGAGTTCAATGCGATTTTCTCACTGAAAATCGCCTCTAGTGGCTGTCAGGGAGACAGCCACTAGAGGCTGGATTAACCCTACAGTGTTTCTCTGAAACTGCTATGTTTTCAGCTGCAGTGTTAAAATCTGGGGGACCTGGCACTCCGACCACTTCATTGAGCTGAAGTGGTCTGGGTGCCTATAGTGGTCCTTTAATGAAAGCTCAGCCTGACCACACCGGCCAGCTCAGTCACAAAGAACTACAGCAGGAAGCCTTACTCAGGGAGGGAGTAAGAAATTATGTTTTAAGCCCTTTTTACGATCCTCAGTAAGACTTCCTCCAGTGTCACTCCACATGGAAGCTGCCCGTTTAGGAGGGAAAGAACATGATGCAGCTCCCAGTTGGCAGGTACAGTGAGACAACCAGGGTAAGTGAAGTGGCCTTGAAGCTTATTCTGCTGGGGAATTGGAGGGGAGAGGGGGAGATGGAGCTGGAATGGAGAGAAAGATGGAGAGGACAGAAGGTGGAGCAGGAAGAGAGATAGAGAGAGAGAGAAAGATGGAGCTGGAGGGGAGAGAGGGAGATTGGGCCTGAGTAATATCTGATGCATTGCATTAGAAGTTTCCAGGGCTGCTTTTTATTCCCAGCCCAATCCTGTTAAAATCACTTATTTCAGCACACAAATATGGTGATTCAGTTGTTACACCATACGGCCATATTGTGTTAAACCCGCCACTCCGTCACAGTACCCAGATATTGCTGGGTCCAACACTTAACATGAGAGCTTAACCCTTTAAAGACACATGACATGTGTGACATGTCATGATTCCCTTTTATTCCAGAAGTTTGGCCCTTAAGGGGTTAAAGGGACTCTCCAGTGCCAGGAAAACAATCCATTTTCCTGGCACTGCAGGTCCCCTCTCCCTCCCACCTCCGGTTGCTGAAGGGGTGAAAACCCCTTCAGTGACTTACCAAAGGCAGCGACGATGTCCCTCGGCGCTGCTTCTTGGTCCGCCCACGCTCCTCCCCGTCACCATGCCCGCTGGTGGCGGAGACCTAATGCGTATGTGCGGCAATGTCGCGCATGCGCATTAGAACTCTCCATAGGAAAGCATTGAAAATGCTTTCAATGCTTTCCTATGGGGATTTTAGCGACGCTGGAGGTCCTCACATAGAGTCTGCGCTATAATCCCGGAAGTGCCCTCTAGTGGCTGTCTAGTAGACAGCCACTAAAGGAGGAGTTAAACCTGCAAGGTAATAATTGCAGTTTATAAAAACTGCAAAAAATTACAGTTGCAGGGTTAAGGGTAGTGGGAGTTGGCACCCAGACCACTCCAATGGGCAGAAGTGGTCTGGGTGCCTGGAGTGTCCCTTTAACATGCTAACTTGCTTCACGGCAGCACTACTAAAGAGAAATGCATTTTCCAGGTGTGCCCTTCAATTCCCCTTTTTTCTGTGTTTATTTGGAATCCAGACCAGATTCCTGTTGGGTTAAGCAACCCACACATCCACTATTGGAGGTGACCACCAGAAAAGTATAAACTGAGGGGAGTCTATGGAAGCAGTTTAACCAGTAAATATTGCAGTTAGAATCTTTATCTCATGTATTGGGGTACTGTGAAGTAGTGGTGGGCATAACACAATATGATTTTAACAACTAAATCCTCATAATTTGTTTCCTGAGATAGGTGATTATAAGTAGATAAGATTATAAATTGTAAAAAAAAAAAAAATTAAAAAATTGTGTGTGCTGTTCCTTAATCTGTATTTTGTTTATATTTTGATCTTTACGGCAGAACCACTAAGAAATGCATGTTTCGGGTGTGCCCCAAATTCCCCTTTTTTCTATGTATATTTAGAATCCAGACCAGATTCCTACTGGGTTGCACACATGTAGCCTTATATAATTTTAAAACTATGTTTTTGGTGTGTGCTGTTTCTTAATCCCCATTTATACTGTAGTCTGGATTACCAGCATGTAGTAGAGGACCAAATTTGATGATGATTGACATTGCAGGACTAAGTGGGACAGGGACACGGCACCCAGACACTTAACAAAAAAAAAATTAAAGATGAAGACCCCTTCCCATTCTGGACATCTTTGCTGAATTCTTTTACGTCAACTGTCACAATTCACGGACATAATTTCAATTTAAAGACTAATCTGATCTGGGACAAGAATGGTCTCATCTACAAGAATATATCAAAATGGAAACAGGAAAAAAAAAAATACTATATCAATGTAAAAATGGCACTTACAAACACAGATTTCAACAAATAAAACAAAAAGGAAATACAATTATGATTACATTCTTTATTCAAAAAATAAATATCATGGAAGTTGGATACAATATATTGAAACTGGTTTTACCACAAAGCATAGTCCTTTGGCAACTGTGAGAAAGAATATTAATCTGAAACAGGGCACAGATTTATACAGGTATATAATTAGCTAAAATCTGGGTTTCTCTCTCTCTTTTTTTTTTTTTTTTAACATTTTTGCGATTAAGCTTTTTTATTTAAAAATGATTTTCTGAAAGTGTAAAAGGCACAACTGTATTTTTTTTTTTTAATACATAAAATTTAAAATTTATGGCACATTTGTTAATACACAATGTCCTTGTTT